AAGGCTAAGAAAAACACAAGATGAATCTATTTATTGTGCCTTTGGAAAGGCAGAAACCTGTTACGGCTGCCATGTCTAGTTCAACAGCATGCAGCTAGGAGTATTTTTATCAACCATAACCTGCTCTTCTGCTGAAACAGCCTCTGTACAGCTCTCAAATAGTTTCCTACTATGACCGTTTGTGGCAGTAAGACGGTCTTACATACGCTTGGACTGTTCTCTAGGTGGCTAGGCTGGAGGAGACCAAACAGCCATGTACAAAAGTCGGACGACTTGCCCACTTCACCTGTATCTACCTTGATCCATTGGCTCAATTCAACCATAGAATGGGCCACACTGAGAGAGATGCTAACAAAGATGCTGTGATAGGCTCATACAGATAAGTCAAGTTATATGCAGTAGAAGAGAATCCCTCCATTCAGACTCTGTTCTCAGTTGCAATCTTCCTGTTTTGCTGCAGGACACTTTGGCAAACACAGGCCAAAATTGCTTTGGATATTTTTTGTTGGGTAAGAGGAATCATGGAAGTTGCTGAGAGTAATTGCATATTCCCAGGGGACCCCCGGAAGAAGGGAATGGTAAGTCACTTCTGAGTCTTCTCCACCTGGGAAATCTTGAAAAAGGGTCAATATAAGCCAGAATTTGACTTGATAGCACATGATTATTATTAATACATATAGAAATCTCCACATTAAGATCTAGTCATTGACTTGGTGACCCAGGCACTAAATCTGACCTTTGTACCTACCAATAAAGAGTCTGGGGTTATGTGTGTGTATGGTGGCAGCACTACCTCATAAGGCTGATGTGCTTTAGGAAGTAAAAACACAGCTTGTGGGATTTCTGCTTCCTGTTTGGCATAGCTAAATTATAGCTAAAATGGTGGGCTAGAAGCTGGGTTTGAGGGCTGCTTCAGAAGCCAATATCACTATTCACTCCACCTGAATCACACACATAGTCAGGGAGCAAGAGTGGTAGCTGTACAAATCCTTCCCACACAACTGTGCGGGATATCCTTAAATGTCCAATAGGATTCTGGCCATTTTGGCCTTCTCAGACTGATGGCTGTTCTTCCACCAACTGCATATCTAATAAAACATTCCTGATGTAATGTAACCTTTGAAACATTTACAGTAGGGTCTGAAGAAGTGGACTTGTCCACAAAAGCTCACATTAAAATACAGCAGTTAACTCTTACGGTGCCACAAAATCTTTGTTTCCTTTATTATTATTTTTCTATTGGTTTGCCTGTTACACTGGGGTGGGAGACATCCGACAGAGCAGAGGCAATTTTTCCCTCCTGTGGAATTTGGAAGGCTTTCCTCTGAACAACCTAAATCTTTGCCCTCTGATTTGTAATCCTATTCCCCACACCTTTCCCAGACTGCCTGCTCCCTTGGTTTATTAGACTAGAAAGTGCCCCCCTCCTCTCCAAAAAAAACCTACCAGGAAGTGACTAGCTGGATATGAGAAAACCTCAATTCAACATTGGAGACCAATAATCTGATGAGACAGGAAGCTGCTTCAGCTCTATGATTATTTCAGGGCTGGGGCTAGATCCATCAGTGATAGAAAGGGAAGGAGAAAATTCACAATGGTGGAGAAATTCAGTCCACAGACTGAATTCAATCCAATTTCTTGTAAGTCAAATTCCAGGGGTTGATGGCCAAAAAAGAATTTCTAGCCCTTTGAATGGGAGATGGGGGAGGGGGATTTATTTCTTTTATTATGTATTATTATTGTATGGGGAAGCCACATACAAAAGTCTGGAATGCCTCTCAAGGGATGATATTGAGGGAAGACTGTGTACGTAGTCCTCTGGGAAACTGTAGAGGAGCCACTTGGAATGCTAGGTGGTCAGATTTGGCTCAGGGTCTCAGATAGTGATGATTTGCTATTCTGCAGATTTAAACCCGAGATTTTAGAGATGCATTTTGCCTGCATATTATCCACTACTCTACCCCCAATTTCCCGTACTAAATGGAAACAGAAGTTGTCACTTTACAGTATCTCCAAAAGCCAGTGTACATCATGCTGGTTTTTTTTAAGCGCTCGATGCTATTTTCCTCTTACTTGACAACACACTGTACATATTACTAATACCGGATGTGCCAAAAGCACTCAATCTATACATCAGGTATCACTGTGAATAAGCTAAGAACTAGAATTGCATCTGTTTGGAGACCCAACAAGTTAAGTGGCACTGAAGGCTCTTGTCAGCAGCACTACTTAAGCTGTAAGACTTTCATCATCTTTGCATTCCTGCAACAGGTTCTTCTGAAAGATGTAGAGTGGGCAAGAGGAGACCCTCAGCATCTGAAGGTCTAATTAAAAACAAATAGCTTTGACCTCCTTCCTCTTTGGCAAGAATAAGTGACAAGGTGTAACTGAGCTTGTTTGAGTTTGTCCCTTCCAGTCTGTTAAAAAGGGACAGTTCACAGCCTGACAGCAGCCATCAAAAGGTTATTTTACAGATGAAAACACAGCATTGAATGTGGTTGGTTTGTTTTTTTTGCAGACCAGTTCTATGCACGTTTTTACTTAGAAATAAATCCCAGTCAGACTCACTTTAGCCAAGTGTCTGCATGTTTTCATTTTGAGCCTGTTGAACGAGTTTTAATGGTGAAACCTCTTAAAGTGTAATAAATATATACTGTATCCCCTTCCTATACACTCACTAAGAACATGGTATCACGCTCCATATGTCCATTAAAATAAGGAGATCATCTGCTAGGACAATGTTTTAAATTATTTTATGCTACTGGACTTTTAAACATTACTGTTTTACTCCACTTTAGTATTATAGACATCTTTTTAATAGCATCTTTAAAAATATCATTTTATAAGTCATTTGAACATTGAGAATGGTATGATAAAAAACAGGCTGATTAGCAGTGGGTGAAGAAATTCTATTGGGAAGAGTGGAAGCTACATGTTGTTGTTTTTTAAACCATTTTATGTCCTTCAATCTACTTCCTTTTTGCCTGTTACCAGCACTGCAGCTTCAGCATCGGATATTTGTATCTGCAGTACATATGAAGTCACGGATGTTTCCGCATTATATTTAAAGTCAGAACTCTCCCTCCACTCTCCGAGGTTGGGGATTAGATTCAAACTGTTCTATGGGGCCTGGAAGGCATTCTGAGACCATGAGGTTGTAAGCCTAAAAATTAAAAAAAAAAACGAAAGACACCATCTGTAGCCTCAGCACGGGGTTGTCCTATGTCACAACACATGGGACTTCTGAGGCTGAGTTCCCTATGCTTCAGGCTCAAAACACTGAACCAAGAAAGCAGAGAAGCTGTCATGAATTCATATCCTACCTGACGTAAACCTCTTCCCCCCCTCAAATTCACATAAATCATGAATGGCTTCAGTCCTTCTCATGTACTCCTGTAAGGCCTTCTCTTTGACTTTGTCTGCCAGACTCGTCAAGAACCTGAAAGTGGTTTTCGCAGTTCCACCAGTGAAGACAAGTGTTCTCTTTTTTCTTCTTCTTTTCCATAGTTCTTCCTCCCACGATGTTTGCTCTTTTCCTCAGCAGGAAAAGAGCAAACATTGTTCTCCTCTGCCTTCCCTTCGTGGCTTTCACCTCCAGCGCCTCAACTGACTGCAGCTGCTCTTCAAGAGGTCTGTCAATGCCTACTTCATCTCCCCTTATAGCCTTAAGTGTGGCTACTCACTGCTCCTCCAGTTCTCTCGCTTTTTCTTCTGACAGTGCCATCAGCTTCCACTTGTATGTGTACACTGTGTGACACTCAGGCACAAAGACAAACACTGCACAAACTTTGCGGGGCACTACAACTCAAGCGTCTCTTCCTTCCACAATCCCTGTTGCCTTTTTGCTCAGATCTACTTGTCTATGAATTCTCTTTCCTTTATTTTATTAGCCTGAATGTAGCTGGGAAAGTCCACTAATATATACCTTTCTGCCTTTTGTGTCCTTGGTCTCTCCCTTTCTTTGGTCACTGCCTCCAGTAGGCCTTTCCTTCCTATCTCTCCCCCATCAAACTCCCATTTGTTGTCCCTGGTCATGAACTCCCTGAGTCTGCTTCAGTTTTATACCTCAGCTGTGCTGTTAGGAGCCAGCAATGAGGACATCCCCCCCAGCTGAGCACACGGCCCTGCCTCTCAAGAAAAGCACACGGTCCTTCTGAATGGGGAATTCCTAGGGGTTACTCCTGGTCCCTTGCTGATGTTTATTTATAATACTCACATCTCTGATTTTTTCTCCTTGGTCTCTCCCTTGTGTCCCTTCTTCAGGAGACCTTTTCTTCCTGTCTGTCCTGTTAAAACTCCTACGCTGTCCTTGGTTGGAAGCTCAGCTTTATTTCTCAGCTGTAATCTGTTAGGAGCCAGCAATCAAAAGGCCCTGCTAGAACTCACAGATGCTATTTATAGCTCTCAGCAATAATTAGGACACACAGCTCCTTCCTACTGAGCTGACCACAAGGCCAATGAAATGTAGTTTAATTTTAATCAACTGGCTTCTCTAGTTTTAGTTAAAACAGAATAAAACTACTCAGTAGTATTACCCCATGGAAGATCAGAGAGTTATTTATGTGAGAGATACAACTGTTGGAGAGACAATTTTCACGGTTTGGACAAGAACTATTTAAACAGATTAGCAAGATATGGAACTTGCCTTATACCCAAAATATTCCTTTAGTTCCCTTTCGGATGAAGATTGTTTTATTTTCTGACATATACTGGCAGTGGCAAAAGCATTAGCTGTCAGGTTCTGGAAACAAACTCAAATGCCCCTAGACATTTGTGACTTCCTCTTCCAAAAGTGTAAAGTTAAGAAAATAAAGCTGACCTATGTGATGGGATTTCAAGCAAAGCATTTTGGAGTAATGTACTTGTAATACTGTATGGCGTTGGTAGGGAGAAGGGAATCAGATTTTCCAGCAACAGTGAATACCATTTTTTAAAAAAATGAAGTTGTTTAAAGATTTGTGTATATAATAGAAAGAAACAAAAGAGGGCAGACAGAAAAATATTTTGTAATGCTATATTTACATAAGGATAAATGAATATTGTAGAACAGAGATGAATGGAAAGTACTCTAGATATTCCTACAACCTCTGTCAGGGAAGCCAGCATAGCTAATGGGGTGAGGGATGGTAGAATTTGCAGTCCAGCAGCCATCTGGACAGCCATACATTCTCCTGTAGAATATATTCAACATGTCCATGAAATCACAACATGACACATATAATACACAGGTTAAACAGAGGCCCTACTGTACAGAAGGTAGCATCTGTGCTTTCATTAAGCAGAAATTAGAAGTCTCCAGGCAAAATGATAAAACTTATAGGTTGCTTTTTTTTTCAGGAAGAGGAGAATGCCTCTTAAAAGGAGGGGAAACAATTCAATGAAATGATTCATTTCAAAAGTCAGGCATAAATTAAAAAAAACTTTTAACATACTAACATTTCCAATAGAAAAACTGGGACAGTTAATGGATCAAGACATGGATCCAAAATGAGCCAAAACATTACAGAGCAAGACAAGAAAACAGTGGCTGCTTCTGTTGCGGCCAGATCAGTATCAAAGCCAACAGCCCTTGAACATCAACTCACTAATGTGACTTTTTCAAGTTTTCCCAATGCTTAGGCTCAGTTTTACCAGATGCCATTTTCAAGGCCACAGAAAAACTACAAGACGATACCATCACACCATGTGGTTTGCTTTAAGTTATAGGCAAAGTAGCAGACAAAATGCAATGGCCTCAAGTTTGGATTACAACATCATAATGGCATCAAAAAGGGTGAGTTGCCAGTCGTCTTCTGTCTAGTTCTCTCCTGTCACGAAGCAACTTTTATTCGGGAAACAATTTCATTCACAAAGCTGTTGTTATGTTTCACAACTTCCTCTTTGAGCTCTTTCAGTTTGGTTCTGATGTCTTCGTCCGACATGTCTGACAGTGACATCGCTTTCACTTCAGAAAGGAAGTCCTGGATTATTTTTTCACCTTGCTGAACAAAACAAAACAAAAAAAAAGGAAGAAAAAAAGAAACTGATTCTTAGCCTTTGATTTGTGTCCTCCTGGATTCCTTCTGCAGCAGTGTTTCCCAAAGATTTCTGCATGACACCCAAACTTTTTCAATTTATGAGAAACCCTCACAGCTCATCTTGTGTTTATCATAATCTACCCCGCTTTTTCCAACCTGAGGCCGTCCAGATAGGCTTCAACACATCTGTGCTGGCTGGAGGCTTGTGGGAACTACAGTCCCAAACATCTGGACAACAGAAGGTTGGGGCAGGCTGCTTTACAGATACCTCTGTTAGGAAAGCCCTGTTCAGTCATTATTGAATATAGCATTCTGGGTCAAAATAGGGGATGGGGACAGGGTGGATGACATTTCTCTACATCCTCATCCTTAGGAACTGAAACTGAAGCAAGTGAAGCATGAATGGGTGAAATCTCCTGTCAGTAAAGTACACAAGGCAATTTCAGTGGCTTTCCTGGCTTTGCACAATGACTTTGTTCCAAGAGGCTCTTGGCCTGGTAGGCGCCTCCGTAGTGCCCATGTGCTCTGAAACAAGCAATGCTCTGAGAAATTACTTTATGCGATAACAACCCCAGAGATGCTGACTGGGATATTCCGGGAGTTGTATTTCAAAACAAGAATCTGGAAGTTGAGTCATGGCAACTGGACTTTTTTTTTCTTAAATGTTTCACTACTCATCCAAATGACTGAAGAAGCTACATGGATGAGTAGCGAAGCGATTAAGAAAGAAGTCCAGTTGTCATGACTCAACTTCCAGATAACCTCACCTGGATGACCGAGAATCTCCACAAACTCAAAACAGGAACTTTGGAATGTGCATGAAAAAGGTCTGAAAACCAGCCCCATGAGACGTCATCTTAAGCCGAAGCAGTATATAAACTTTCTTCTAAAAAAAATTTAATTCACAAACCTGTTTCTCTTTGTAGCATCTCTTAGCCGCTGGTTCTTCATCCTCCTCTGCTTCCTCCTGCTTCCCAATATCCTGGAATTCCTCTAACTCCAAAGCCTTTGACTTGGCACTCTCGATCACATGCTTGGGAAAGGCAGCCATCTCAGCTACATGGATACCAAAACTCTGATCACAAGCCCCTGGAAGAAGTGCCATTGGTTTCAGTCCTCAAAAAAGGAAATGCATCAACAGGTGCCTCAAATTCTACCGGGCATCGTGACATTGGCAGAATTGACAAATTGCCAAAGTATGTGAAAAATAAAAACAATGGCCAAAATCCTGTTGCATAGTTGCAATGAGCAAATCAGCAAATCACATTAAAGGCATGAGCAAATCACATTAAAGGCTTTCTTTGGCAACTTCGGGGCATATATGACTTTGTTCTATTTTCTATGAGTCATGAGCACCCTGAAATTAGCTTTAATAAGTGAAAATTTACCCACAATCAGTGGTGATATGCACTGCTGATGACTTCATCTCTGCTGCACACATGGAATGGCGCAACAGGATTTCAGCCACCATGAAAAGTGTCCTTTGTGGATACATCAACAGGAGCCCTACAAACAAGCCAGTAAAACCAGGCAGAGGGTGCACAAACAAACTGAAAGGGATTCTAAGGAAAGAAGTAACAAGAAGGGCTATTGGCAAAGGAAGATGCATACAATCCATGTACATTCTCAAATCACGGCTGGCAACTAACTAACAGGGCTTTCCAGTCTGATTTATAGGTACATGCGAAGAATGTTATAGCTATTCAGATACAAAATTTAAACATGATTAAACACTGTACCCACACAAACCATACAAGGAAACAGTCATTAGAATGAAAAAGCCAGATAGAATTCTGTAAAGTCTGAAACATACAAAAAAGCTTTCTGGAAGAAACGTATGTTTCCTTGACAGCAAGCAGGGCACATTCTCTCTGTCCCAGCTCTGTGGTTCATCTCACCTTTTTTCACACGGTACAGCATTGTCAGGGTGTCTTCACTAGTTAGTGCCGTGACATGTAAATTGTTCACAGTCGGAACTTGGTCAGCAAGGGCCGTCAGCTCATGGAAATGAGTAGCAAACATACAAAAGGCTCCAATTTTGGTGGCAATGTATTCCGAGATTGCCCATGCCAATCCAAACCCGTCATACGTAGACGTTCCTCTCCCCAATTCGTCAATGATAATCAGTGAGTTTTCTGTTGCAGCCCTAAAAGAAGAGATAACTGCTTGGACTTGAGTTTTAACAGCAGTTGAAATCGGTACAGCCCCAAAAGGAAAGAGCACAGGACATTTCACTGTGTGTGTGTGTGTGTGTACACACACACACACACACACACACACACTTGGGGAGGGGTGAGGAAACTCAAGATTTGTGTAAGTACAAAAGAGGGAGATCAAGAAAACAGTCAAGGGGGAATGGAATGGGATATCCATTCCATGTCCCCATAGCGGAGTGGTTAAACTGCAGTACCGCAAATCAGACCTCTGCTCACAACCTGAGTTCAGTCCAGACGGGCTCAGGTAGCTGGCTTGAGATTGACTCAGTCTTCCATCCTCCCAAGGTCAATGAACTATCCAGCTCCTGGTGGAGTGGGGAGGGGTGGGTGTTTCTTGCATAATTATGTTGTAAACCGTCCATACAGAAGTCAAAACAACAAAATCCTGCAGAAAACCACTCCACGCTGCTGCATTTCTTTGCAGTTGATGCTTCCTCAAATAAATGAAGTGGGATGACCCCCATTTCTTCCAGTTTGGAAGCAAAATGGGAACACCCAAAAAGAACTCAGTGGTTTTGATAAACTTACGGGGCTCCTCAGATTAGAAGCAGGGCATCTCTTTTAGTCCGGGGGCCACATGCAATGTCAGATAGGTTTTCCAAGAGCTGCATCATAGCGTGCATAGCCAAATATAAACGGGTGGAATCAGAAAGTACCAGCATATTTTAACTTGAAAGTTCTTACTAAGGCTTAGGAAAAGCTTATGAGAAAAGCATAGGGACCTATGGGATAAGGGCACAGCTAGAGGACTAGCTCTAGACTCCAGGAGGGCCAATTTCAGCTTCAGCGTCTGGGGTTTTCCACACTGGCTTAGATACACAGGAGTATCTTTGTTTATAAATCTAAGAAACCAACAAAGAAAACTTGAGGTGCCACATGAAAAGGTGTGCATGCAAAGAAATTGGTATAGGGGACGGAATTGTTCCTTTCAAGCTTTTAACACAGATATTCCCAATCTACTGGCATCCCAGATGTTCTTGGACTGCAATGCCCAAAAAGAAGTGGCCACTGGTTGTGCCAGCCCATGCTTCTGGAAGCTGAAGTCCAAAAACATTAGAGAGCCACTGTGTAACAGTTAGTTATACTATACTGCACCATATTGGTAAATTTTAAGGATAGCAAAGAAGAAACTCATGCTTCTCAAGGAAACCCAAACACAGCTCTTACCGAAGAATGGAAGACGTCTCTAACATTTCTGCCATGAACGTAGAAACACCTTTCAGCTGGCTATCTCCAGCTCCTACACGAGCCAGGATAGAATCAACAATAGTCACTTCGGCCGATTCACATGGCACGAAACATCCAATTTGAGCCATAAGAACAATCACTCCAGTCTGTCGGATATAGGTTGATTTTCCTCCCATATTCGGCCCTGCAGAATAGGTATTGCCAAGACGTTAAGGAGCAGTCCTGGTTTCTTAACCGTGAGCCAAATGCTCTTTCTAGAAACTGTACAGATTAATCACCTCTTGTTTTGTTTTTGTGTGGCTTTTTTATTTCATTTACCAATTCCTTCTTCCGTTACTGTTTCAACTTATTCCTTACCTTTATGGAAGGGCAGTTGAAAATTGTTCTTCAGATCTTTTTAAGAGACAATATTTTAAAATCATTGCTACCTCAGCTGGTTACTCATTTTACTTTTTAAAACAGAAGTAATCTTAACACCAATAAATCTATATTCTAAACAAGAGTAAACCAGGTGTAAATAATGTGCTGTCTGGAATGAAAATGCAGGAGTAGGTGAAAATTTTATAGGCTACGAAAAAGAAATCATACAATATGCTAGCTTTCGTGGATCAATGCCTACTTCATCAGGCATGCATGTACCGGTGTCTTGTCATTAGTGCAGAGAATGGAAGAGTCCCCAAAGTTCACGGCAGATGGATCTGCCAGGCATATTTCTTCAATGCACTAATTACAAGACACTGGTATATGCCTGATGAAGTAGGCACTGACCCACAAAATCTGGCAGATGGTATAATTTTATTTTAATAGTCCATAAAGATATTGCCTTGGTACTGTATAAGGACCTCACAGCTCTTTTCTATTTCAAGAGAACAGTAAAGAAAATGAAAGCCTAGTAGTAAATTATCAGCTGCCGGGAGAAGCAACCTTCAAACATGCCAAAAAATCTTTTAAGGCCAAAGAGCCCCTTGTCCATGTTCTGGTGTAGGAGGCTAAACACTGAAAAACTGGGAGACTTTGGCCAAAATTATAGTACATAAATTACCATGGAAGGTTGAAGATGTCAGCCATAGAGAGAGTTTTTGGGTAAATTGAAGACTTTCTTCTCCTAACCAGTAGCTTGTCCAAGTAATTCACATCACTGTGTGAAAGCTGTGGCAGTTACAGGATGGAAGAAGTTTTTAATTACCGAAAATCTTTCCTTTCCAGTAATGTAACCCGGCAGCAGGGATTTTTGGTAATTAAAGTCTTCTTTCTTCCTTTTCATGACTCCCACCATTTCTATGCAACTAAATGGATTGCTGTCAAGTTGAACAAGCCACAGGAAAGGAAGAGGAAGGCTTTAGTTGCCTAAAATTGCCTCCTGCTGGTGACATCAATGTCAGAATCCCTTCTCCCTAAAGAGAATGTGTCTCGGGCGAGGAGTAACTGTAGGTGCAAGCAACCACCACTTTTCTTACCTGAGGTAGGTCCTTTAATCTCAGAACTGCGTAATCCTTGCCCTATGGACAAGCTCAACCTGAATTAGAGCCTCTTGCCTACTTACAAGGCAATCAACCACTGACTGAGTGCTTCCTTAGACAGCACAACAGACTGGCTAGGTAGGACCTCTTAGTTATAGTAACAATTAGTGACCTTTCCACTTTCTACTGCATTTAGGTGCAATCCTGCTGTTCAAGAGACAAACTCTTTGTTGAAGAATAATTGTTTTATTAAGAAAATAAAGTAGTTCCATTAAAATACAGTTGTAGCTTAAGAAGCATGACGCATGATCATATCCAAGCAGTCAGGTAAAGGTACAGGTTCCCCTTGACATTTAGTCCAGTTGTGTCCGACTCTAGGGCGCAGTGCTCATCCCCGTTTCCAAGCCATAGAGCCAGCGTTTGTCCGAAGACAATCTTCCGTGGTTACGTGGCCAGCACAACTAGACACAGAACGCCGTTACCTTCCCACTGTGGTGGTACCTATTTATCCACTCGCATTTTTACATGCTTCCGAACTGCTAGGTTGGCAGGAGCTGGGGCAAGCGACAGGAGCTCCCTCCGTCGCGTGGACTCGATCTTACAACTGTTGATCTTCTGACCCTGAAGCACAGAGGCTTCTGCGGTTTAACCCACAGTGCCACCACGTCCCTATCCAAGCAGTTACTACGATTCAAATACGCTTACTATTCCTAGATTAAAATAATAAAAGGCTAAACTAAGTTAAGTAATCATTTTGGCAAACTTCTACATTTTAGCATCTAGAGAAGCTCTTTCAAAGAGGACAAACCTCTCTCTTCTCACATTCCACAACACCATCCATCAACAGCAACATTTCACATACACAAAACAATCATTTTTCTACATGTCTCTGGACCACCTTCTTTATAACACTTCCAAGCTGTTAACCAATTAAGATCCCGAGGGCGTAACACAGTTCACTCCCCCCCCCTTTCACATAAGATCTTGAAGGTGTCTTATCTCATCTCAATTAAGAGGAATGTGGTGATTGGTCTTCTCCTCAAACCTTGTTCCTTATCTCTGTGCCAGGCAGAGCAAACTTGGAACAATCCCATGTAAACAAATCAGTAGTTTAAATCCAAACACAATAAACCTAACAGACTCCATTTTTGTATGGCAACAAGTCCCAGTTCCCTTCTAATTCCTTACAATCACCACCCTTACACATGTGTGACTTACACAACAGGGCTTTGCCTGGACCTCTGTCCCTGTGAAGTTGTGTATATCAGAGTCTGAGTTGTCACTACCCATTTTATTAAAAACCTTTTACCTGATCACATGAATAATAGAGGTTTATGGAGAAGGTCAGCCTTTTGTAAAAAGGAGGGATATATTTCAAGTTCAGGAAACCAAGCAAAGTAAGATCAGCCTCAGGCTCTGTAGAAAACATAAGATCAGCTCTTGAGATCAATGTGCTTGGATTTATTTAAGAAACAAATGCAGAGAAAGGGCCAGCAGCTTTTGGAAAGAAAGCAAAAAACTAAAGGAGTTTATGTGGTTATGCAATCTTCACAGCTCCTAAAATTTAAAGAGGAGAGGCCATAGCTTCGTGACAGAGCACATGCTTTGTATACAGAAGAAGTTTAGTCTTCTGACATTTCCAGATTGGCCCAGGTAAGAATCCTACCTGAAACCCTAGAGATGTGTCAGTCAGTGTCAATAAAACTGGTCCTGATGGAACAAAGGCCTGACTCAGTAGAAGACAAAATTCCCATGTTCCTAAGAATAATTCACCAAAGAAACTCCCCAGCTATCAACTGCAAAAAAAAAAAACATCACAAGGTTTTACAGTTAAAACTACCAGATGTGGAGAACAGGAAATACCACCACCCCCTCCGAGGGGAGGGAGGATGAGATTTCAAAACGACCAGTAGATAGACTGAAGTGACCTTGGCCATGCATCCTTCAGATAAATCTTTCATGTACTGATGAAATTTAAGGCTGAGTCATGGCAGAGGCAAGCTGTGTGTGTGTCAAGGCTCACGTGGGGAGTCACGCTTAGGGATGTCTGGCCAGGTCCTTTGTTCAGAGACCTGATGTAAGCAAAAATAAGAAAGGCTAGCAATTTCACAGGGGTGGGGAATAAAAGAAAGGGGAGAATTCTTGGAGTAGGGAGCTAGAGGAAGGACCCAAGGGGAGAGAGCTCAAGACCAGACAGGTCACTCATAGCCTCCTGCCCTGAACTGAGAAATATTTTACATATCAAAGGTACAGGGCCTCTGCAACTAGTGCAATTGTTTTCACAAGATGAGGCCAATAGAGCTAGAGCATCACGAAAGAAAGAAAAAAATTGGCAGGTGATCTGCAATATAGGCTTCAATGATTAACTTAAGTGGGGGCAGATCATTCTTATTTAAGGCTTCCTGGAGGACTTGGGGAAGAAGAAATAAACAGGAAAACAAGTCACAGGTAAAGCCAGCTGAAGTGCTGGGCTTGCTCCAGAGTAAGCAGCAGCATCAACCATGTAGCTACAGCTGCTTCGCATGCGTTCTTTCATTTACACATCATGAAAATCACCCCTGCTTTATACACTAGGCCAATTTTGCATTAGTTTTGCTTTCCTCTCATCCCAAATCAAACACCTGAGCAATGTGAAATACAGATCTGAAGAAATAATTACTCTCTCTTCCTGTTCTTTTTAAGATTAGGATATAGACTGCTTGAAAAAGCACCTGGATAAAAACACTGAAATAACAAACATTGGTATATAAATGAAGTTCTTACCGGTAATGATATGAAACATCTGCTTGTTCCTCTCAAAGGTCACATCATTGGGGATGAAGGCAACATCATCTTGAACTTCAAGGCAGGGGTGTCTGGCACCTTTCAGCACAATCCCCCCTTGCCCCTTTTCCAGAATTGTTGGGCGCACATATGGTATGGGTGCTACAGTGGATGCATGTGCAAAACTGACAACGGCATCCAGATGCGCTATGATGTCATTCAGCAGCTGTATGGGTTCCTTATAACCTGTTGGAGACAAAACACTATTCAAAGCGTCTTTGCACCGGGAATCAATCCACGAGGAATCCCAGTCATTCATTCGGCACCACCCCTGCCATCAAATTTGGATCGTTTTGATCATGAGAATTGCAGCTGACCCTTTTGCAAGTTCATTGGGGACAGGAACAGGTGTTTGTGTACATGCTTGCATGTTTTATTCGTATCAAAGTGTTGCAACTCAACACTCAACGTATAAGCAGTTTGCGTCCAGCAAGATACTGGCCACTGAAACAAACAAACTTGCAGGCAATCATTTGGCCACAGCCACCCATCTTTAAGGAACTTCCTATGTAGGGCACTCAAACATATTCTGCATGGGGCTGTCTTTGGAGAGTATTAAAAAGCAGAACCTACTGAAATTCACAGGTGATGCTGCAGAGAGCAGAAGACTCTGAGTCACCTGCTGCTGGGTATTTTTTTCCAAGCCACTGCCAAAAGACTCGTGGTGAGCTTCAGCAGCCTATACAGCCCAAACCAGGGCATCTCCTGGAAGTGTCTGCTTTCTTTCTTCTCAGAGGCAAAGAGACAGATTCAGCCATGTGCTCTCTGGTGAGAACAGAACAATGCAAAAACTTCCTGGTGTGATTTATCTGACAGCTGTTTTTTTAGTAACAGGAAGACCTGGTAATTCCCTCCCGGCTCAATGGAGATCTTTCAAGAACCATGGCTCTTTTGATTTGATTGATGGCTTTTTCTTCTCTTATTCTGATCCTGCTTGATTGGCTGACGCGCCAAGTTTTCTTTTAATGAACGTTGAGAACCACTTCTGTAGCAGTTGCCTACATGCTGTGGTCTTCTGGGAGAAAATAGAGCTTTATAAATGCTATTTTTTTTAAAAAAAGGCGACTGTATTGGCGGAGATCCTAATGTGCTGCGTTGTCTGTGGAAAGGCGAATGACCGATCAGTGGTAGCAATTACTGCTGATTAAAGGTTTCCTTTGGCGATTCTGAGGTGTACACAGTTCGTACACCGTATGACGAGGTCACGTATGAAACAACAAATGGAAGCCTTTTATTAGTGGCAACCTGCTGCCACCACTGATGTCATTCCTATTGCACATCCAATAGATTTTTCAGTCAATATTTTTTAATATCACACTGTGGGAAGGATGAAATCATAACGATCTTACTTCTACAGTATGAAGTTTACTTCTGCCAAGTAGGCTAAAAAGATCATTTGAAGAAGAGACAATGTTTGCTTAGACGAAAGTGAATGGCAGGACTCACATACAGATGGAATCGACAAGGATTGCTCACCTCTCCCTCGTCCTTTGTGCAGATTCCTCGAAGTTTATATTCCCAAATAAATATTCAAAACTTACTACACTCAGAAGTTCCTTTTGGAACATCTCAAGATTGTGCTACTTTATTTCCTAACCTGTGAAGTATGTAAACTGCCAACCAGCACCCTTTTAATGAGAATGGTCATTCCACAAAAAGGCACTAGGAAACTCTCTCTTGGTTGTTTTACTATCCTTGCCAGAAAGTTTTCCCCAGAAAACCATTGCTGCTTTGCTGCACAGCTAACCATACAAGAACTATACCTAATTACCCCATAGTTATCCATCCAGATTGTGGAACATCAATTGTTTTCCTCGTCACCGGTTCTAATATTAAATACATGAACTGCCTTGGCCACTCAGACCTAACAGCAAAATCACACTTTTTAATGTTTTGATTCTCATAACATCGCTTCAAACCCCCAACATTGCACATTGCCTATGACTTCCCATATGTGTGTTTTACTGCACTTCAAACCCCCAACATCGCACATTGCCTCTCTATGACTTCCCATATGTGTGTTTTACTGCATAAAGGAAACAACTGTAACACAAGCACATTGAGTCAGATGCTCAGAAACCAATTTTCTACACATACAAGGCTACAAGGAAAACAATAACCAGATTATTACTCCAGAAGGAGATGTTTGAGAGGTAAGTGGTGTTGGTTAATGGAGTAGGAAAGCTAACATTAACAGGTTCACTGAGCTGTTTGAGACTCTGCTCATGCTATCTTGCATAACCAAATTAGGGGGTATCTACTCTTGTAACAGAACGACTGAAGTGCAATAGAAGGGATTGTGTACCTAAGGCCAGACCAGAGCAGTTGATAGATAGCTAACTACAGATCTCCCAACAGTAGGTCCTAGAGCCATGTCACACTAGAAGCCGAGTTATTTTTTTAAAGATCCAAGTGATAAACCTACACATGCAGATCTCCCATATTTTATCTAGGTTTGACTTCACACAACAGATACCTAAGTTTAAATCCCTATCCGACTTTCTACTAGTCACTCTGTATTCGCCCAGTCACCTCCACAGGTCTGGTGTGAAAAAAAGAGTGCAAGAATCATAAACAGTGCTGTCCTAAGCTCCTTGGAGAAAGTAGGGGATGAAACTCATTAAACTGTATTACTGCTATTTGTAGTTATTATTAAGAACCAATAGTTATTAGGATTCATACCTACGAGCGTTGCCAAAAAGTCACGCGACAATTCCAAACACCCAGTCCCACAAGGACTACACATTTTGCTAGCAGTGGTCTCCACGATAAATTAGCTCAGAGGAACAGCATGAGAAACAGATGAGGAATTCATTCTGTTCTATTCAAGCTGAGCAGAGCATCCTCATATAATCTCTGATCCACTATTGGAAATAATATGGGATTCCCCTTGTATCCCTTTCGCTGTCCAACTGGATGACAAGGGCCACGAGAACCAATTTTCTGTGTGCCTTCTCTGAACAGAGATACAGAAATGCGAACAGGATCAGCTAACACCAACTGGGGTCATGCTGGAGGTACATAGAGATGTCCCCTGATGCCAGGAGACGCACAATATCTACCAACCCTTGTGTTACAGGATGTGAGCAGTTAAGAACTTGGCAGAATGGACTATACTGGACTGTGGCCTTCCTTAGTCCCCATCTCTCTCTGTTCACATTCCATCCTTTGTTATCTTTCTCCCCACCCCCTTCTTTTGATGCTCCCTCTAATATCAAAAATTTTAATTATAAGCTCTTTTGGTTTGTTCGGGGTTTTACACTGCTCTGCAAAGCATGGCACACCTTCCACAACGAACAATAAAACCAACATCCCCATCAAAGAAAAATTAAATAGACAATCATGTCGTCTTGTTAAATACCAATGCACCTATCTCATGAAGGTTGAAAAGAATGATTGGTACAACCTCCCCCCTCAATTATTAATCATATGAAAAATAAGAATTATATAGAGACTTTTCATTGGTGAAACTGTTACAGCACTCATAGCAATTGCAGTCTTGGTCTGAGGTCACTTTAAGCTTCCAGCAACGAACCACATATATATATATCCCATACAATTTTATTTAAGTATTGTAGGTTGTGGCCAGTCAATGAAAAATTTCCTAGGCAGTTCACCTAGGGTTAGAAATCAAAACTTCAGTGTGACAGTTGGAAAATAGTTTAAATGTGTTAAAAGACATCCACCCACTCCCACAAAAGCAAGCAGCAATAGTTAGAACAAGGAATAAAATAACACTATGTGGCAAGGGTGACAAAAAATATTTGCGTGCCTTGTGATGATCAATCAGGTTCAAACTGGTTAACAAAAACATGAGATACGTGAATGAGTCAGTCTGGGTACAACATGTCTGGCTTCATAAATCATGGTCCTCACGCCCCCCTCCTTCCAGACCAGCTTGAACAGCAGATTTAGGACCTGTTGTCCTGATTAAACTAAGCCGTGGTTTCCTGTTACATCTGAAATAGGAAGCCATAGTTTCGCACTGCTCAGCCCCTGATGAACACGAAGCATATGTGCATATGGTTAATTTAACACAAAATGGGCAAATATTATTTAACATTTGAATGAATCCCCAAGCGCATGGCTACCAAATGTTCTACTAGTTACTGAAAATATGGTACTTAGAAGAGGCCTGAGTAAAAAAGTGCCCAATCCTTTCTCATGCTGTTTTAATGTGATGCTTGGGTTATCCATTTCAACAGGACTGCCAATACGTCAATAACCAGAATCCTATTGCTGGTTTGCATATGCGTAAAAGTGTAAATTAAGACCTGGGAGCAAATTGCCACTTATTAACAATGAGCTTCTTTCGTTTCTGGGCACATCCTGATCTTGCAACCTGGCATACGCCCATGAACACACCGGCACCTTGTTAATAAGCACTTGTGTAAATGTAAATCAGCAATTTATGCTGGCTTATGCTACTCATGTAAGTGTAAATCAGCAATAGTATTCTGGCCATTGTTTATTGGTTGCTATTAACAATACCCAATGTGGTGTATTGGACAGAGTAAGAGACTAGGACTCAGGACATCTTCGCCCAACTCAGGAGGAGGCCTGGGTTCAAATCCCTGCTCAGCTATAGAAATTTACTGGGGGTGAGGTAGAAAAAATAAGACCATTTCTTAAATACCTCACTTAAATTGAAAGCCATGTTAGGGTCACTATAAGCTGGTTCATGCACAGGCATTTTACTTATTTGGTCCAGATTCTACTAGTAAAGTCTGCATAACTTGGCATGGCTAACTGCAGCTAATTGATAAGGTGTTGAAGGTTGTTTTAGCCATGTGCCAGGTCACATATGTGACTGAGCTACCGAGATCCACCCTGACACCATATCAAAGAGCATCACATAGCAAGTTTTGCAAACAACAACATGATTCCAGCCATTCTTCTCCTTCTTTTCTGGAGTAAAGTAACAAATTCTTTAATGATGACCACTATTCCCAGTAACTCACTGTTGTTACTGTTAACACTGAAACTTTTTAAAAAAGTAACTTTCCAAGCTCTTCACTCACACAATCAGAGAACTAGACTGACTATTAGCATGCCCTCACTCTACGAGATGTTTCAATTTTAGAGTAGGGCTGCTGAAATTTCTTGATACCCATCAAGAGATCTGAAGTCTTTCGTCTTACCAGAAGCCACGTTGATGATCTCTTTAACAACGACTTCTTGCATTTCTTCATATTCTTTCCTGATCTTTATGTACTCTTCATTTATCTCTTTCAATGCACTGTTTGTGAACAAATTTTTGCAAACTTCCTCATATTTGTGTAATAACTCTCCACTGATTTGCCAAGAAGTTTAGGAATCACTTTGGCTGCATTTAAAGGCAAAGGCAGGGATAGAACCGACCTGTGCTTTTTACATACCTGTTATAGAACTTCACCCCATTCTTCAGGGTTTCCAAGACTTTGTATTTCAGATTGTTCCGCAAAACCTTCTCCTCTCTGTAGGTAACTCTGAAAAAATGCCCATACTGCGCGTTGCATTCTAATTTGATACTCTTGCCGGCTTCTAAACCTGTTCCATGGGAAGGGATGAGGGAATAAAATGCGTGACTGACTTTATAAACACACAAATCACATGTTTATTATCCCTACTCAATGAGTCAAATTTTTCCCTTGGCTGGGTTTTCCTGCTTGGTATTATACCAAGCCACCTGCTGAGACGTTAACTCACAGTCACAGGGCTTGGAACAATTCCTAACACCTAGCTGGCCGGATGGGATGAGAGAATCTGAGTAAGCTTGAGGTTGTGGATTTCATTGCAGTACAAGGATTTCTGAAATGTAATCCCATACTACCTAAGATTATCCAATCAAGCAAAGGAAAGAAGGGCACTTCAATATGAATATTTATTTACCTTTAACAGTTCTATAGAGCTATTGTGGAAGAAAAATTAATTGACAGCTGTTCTTCAATGGGCAATATGACCTATACATGTGTCACTGATCTTAGCTTCCCAATTATCCACTCCCACTTCAGAATATCACTTTTTTAGCACAGGGACTGCCAGTTTGAGGGATATTTGGGGGGGCACTTTGTACCCCAGATCAGCAATCCCTAACCCAGCGCTCTCCAGACATTTCTAATTACATTTCCCATCACAGGCCACTGATCACTAACATAACCTCTGATTACAGCATCTATATTTATTTATTTATTTATTTAATTTTATTTATTTGATCTATATCCCGCCCATCTGGTCTGGTCGACCACTCTGGGCGGAGGTATGGGACATACCAATCAGAGAAGCTTTTCCTTATATAGATCAGAAGCCAATTCTGTTGTCCGACTTATTCACAAGCTCCACAACAGAAGTGGTTGATTTAGTAGTAAAGGCTTCATTATTTCAAATGTTAAGTCTGGGCATTACATACAAAACTCAAGGAGGAGATGCAACATACCATCATCAGCTCTCTCTTTTACAGCTTTTGGGAATAATTTTATTTCCTTTCCCAGTGAAAACACAGTGGGGAACGGAGTTAACTGAGATGCTAGGAGCCAGCGAAAACTGATTCAAGGTGGTGAAAGCAAAACAGCATCATCTCAGCATGGTCAAACAATGGCTTTCAAGTTTTCTACCTTCAGAGCACCCGTTCTACCCCACCTTATATGCTAAGAGATTCCTGCACATCTGTCATGGAAAGCAGATACATTGTAGAGAATTTGTGGGAACAGGCAGGTAGATATGTATAAATATAAAGATGTGTTGAAGTCATCCATAACCAAGCAAATGGTAGAGTGATGCTCTGGAGTTCACCCATTAGTTAGGAACAGCTTCAGCATGTCATTATATATTCATTCTTCTTCAAAATAAATGTCCATGTTTTATTTGTAAAGCAGACTGCCTTCCGGATGTGTCTGACTACATCTCATGTCATCCTCTTTCCTATTCTAAGCAGAGATGGGCACGAACTGCAGTTCAGTGCTTCCCTCCTCTGCCCAACTGCCCATTCACTGGCAACACATGCTTCCCTCCTTTGCCTTCTCCACGCAATCGTCCGTTGCTCACTGGCAACGGAGAGAAGGCGTGAGAGGAAAAGTGTTGCTGCTGGCGGGCAGGCGATCATAAGGAAAAGGCAGGGGAGGGAAGCACGCTGCTGTCACTGAGTTGGCAATCTTGCAGGGGAGAGAAGTACGTGGCACCTACTGAACACCTCTGCATGCACCATGCCAAACTGGGCCAAACCACAATTCATGCCCATCTCTAATTTTAAACTATTAGCAATGTGAAATGATGGAAACACCCAAGCATTGCATAATATGACTTTTGGGGGGGAGGGGGGAAACCAAAAGAACTGTAGAAAAAGAAAATTGTGCCCTGACATACTGAGGTCCTTCGCTGCCGCCTTCAGCACACCCTGAAGTTTCCCCTCTAGCTTATCCATGTTCTTTCTCAACTCAGCAAGGTTTGGGTCGATGGAAGGCTTCACAAGATATTCATGGGTCTCCACCTAGAATGCAAGGCAGAAAATTTCCACAGCATATTTTAAAACAATCCTTGTGATTTTAGTCATACTTATCTTTCAATAATTGTTGTTACATGCAATCATCAGGGCTTGAAAAATGGTCTCGTCCACTTGTTTGTGACGAGTGAAAAATACTGCTCCACAAGTCACAGCTCCCTGCCTCCTTCCCCTCCGACTCTCTCTCTCTCTAATCCTGCAGTCCTCCCCTCCCTCTCCTATTGCAAAAGGAAAACTGGGCTTCAAAAATGCTCTCGTCCACTTGTTTGTGACGAGTGAAAAATACTGCTCGACAAGTCACAGCTCCTTCCCTCCCTGCCTCCTTCCCCTCCGACTCTCTCTCCTGCAGTTCTCCCCTCCCTCTCCCATTGCAAAAGGAAAACTGCCCTCTTCGAGTGAGAAGAGAGTTCAAGCGGTACATATATAGCTCTGCAGAAGAATGTAGAAGAGGCCCATGCTGGAGAATATGGAGATTCCCCACCAGATCAGACATAAAGTTTCACAGTAATGTTACAGGAACCAGAAACATGCTCCTGTCTAAGAGAAAGAGGGAAATGGGACCAGGGATGGAACATATAATGGAACAGTCTCTAATCCTCTAAGTAAGAAGGTTGAGCTGTCATGAAGCAACATCATGGCTGATAGGATTCTAGTTAGAGAAATAGCAGCATTTCTTATCCTAAGCTCGTCTGTAGCCTGATTTATGTTTTGCTTTGAACCTTGATACACAACCTTTTAATCTAACTACGTTTTGTCCTTTTGCCAGTGCTTTTTCTTTTAATAAAACTTTTACTTTTACAATAGACTCTTGGTGGGAATAATTTATTCTTTACAGAGCTACTTGGTTTGATCTAGTCCAGAAACACCAAGCCATTGACTCCTCTACCTGTGTAAATGGATCCTTAGAGCATGTGCAAAGTGCCAGAGTTTATACTCATGTAATTAACCCATGATTAAGCTAAATAAATCACATAATTCAGGGCTGGTGGGAGAAAATTCAGAGACCACTAAAAAGGCATACCGCGCTGGGAGAGAAAGGAGGCAGCCAGGGTGTCCCATCTCTGGGAGAGGATAACAGCTCAGAGACCCCAGGCACAGACGTCTCCACAAGACCTTCTGAGAATCAACCACGACAGGGGAGGTTTTAGAAAACTCCCTCACACAAACTATTTAGACATCTCAGTACATCTCAGAGCTAGGCTCGGAGATGGGTAACACTGAATTTTTGGGACTATTCCCAAAAAAGGCTGCTGGTGGTAGTTCTTTCCTCCAGTAAGCTTTAGGCAGAGAACACAGTGTTCCTCTTTATTTTATTTATTATTTAATTTTACTTAACTTACTTCATTATTCAGTCACTTAATTTATTCCCACCTGTTTCCCCTTGCAAGACCCAAGGCAGCTCACACTATGAATTTAAAGTACATTATACATCATATTCTTAAAATGTAATCATGTTTATCTACCAACAGGCAGGCTCTGGTGAACATGAAGCAGCTGGATTTTTTTCAGCCACACTTGTAGTCCCCAATATTGCCCTGAAACAATCTCTCTTTAGGATATTATTGGAAATCTAGATAATTGACGGCTCAGGGTCTCCCTCAGCCACGGGGCGGGAGACCCATAAGCTACCCAAGTTTGCTGGGGCTAGTAATTCAGTGGCCGGGAGTGTGTGCCTCATAAGAGATGCTAAAACATGTTTAAAAATTAGGGAATGGGATACTCTTGGGCACCAGAGGACTGCATGCAGTTTACAAGGTGAATTTGCCCGTTTCGTATCGAAATCCTAGCAGAAAAGAAATGACATTTTAAATTTCAGCAGGCTCAACACTGCCTGTAATGCAAGTTATGAAGAGAATGCAACCTGGCATGACTATTCTATAGTCTAAAAAGTAACTTTTCCCATTTTCAAAGCAGTACACTAGGGCAGATGTGACCCTCCCCACCTCTCTATAGCACAGCAGGTCTTCTCCTTCTGACATAGTGGAGTTCTGATGTGGAAACCAAACTTCTGTTTCTGTCATTAACACGCCCGAGTGGATTCCAAACAGAAATGGCTGCCCTCGAAAGAGCATCTGTGAAAGATGCAGTTGCTTCTTGTGACTGTTTTGGCCACAGCAATTTTCTCACATCTACCCAAAGAGGGCACATTTGCAAAAGAAAGGATAGGATCACAGAGGGGGTCTATTGAATTTCTCCACAAGGGCAATGCTGGCTGAAAGTCAGCACAAAAAATTAGCCAAGCAATTAAAAGGTTTGCTTGCCTGCTCAGCCATGCTACAGGGAACACCACGAGGTAGCTTGAGCAGGAATCTGCCAGGGAAGAATTGTAGCTCCCCTTAGAACCTCATCTAGCAGGAAAAGGACAAAAGCAAGAGCTGAAGAAATAAGACTGAAGAGCAGATATATAGGATTAAGCAGATGTAACACTGTAGCTTACATAACTGTCTCAAACAAGCCTTGGACGCTAGCATATATGGGTAGCTACAAATGTTCACCAGCTACCACCAGTAGGTTGTGAATACAATAAATGTGTTAACAAATCTCCAGGCTGGTTCTCTACAGACAGCTGGAAGGCTCAGCCAGGGCAGATAACGCTCATGACTTCCCAAACTACAAAGGAACTGTTTCCGGAAAGCAACTTTAAGCTTTTCAAAAAAAGATTGGACAGCCGTCGGCCCGGGATGGTATGAGATCTAGGATGGTATGGGGTCTCCTGCCTTGGGCAAGGGGTTAGTCTAGAAGACCTCCAAAGTCCCTTCCAACCCAACAATGATTCTATGATGTAAAATTCTAATCATGGAAGTGGCAGGCCTTCCAAACAAACTTTTCAAAAACATTTTTGTTTCATTTCCCCCCAATGCTGTTTCACCATATATTCCGAGATGCAAATAAGGCTTTGTTCTGCTGTTTATTCTGGTGATCAACAGCAAGATGGCTTTCAAGATCCACAGTTTGCTCTCTTCTGCACAATGGGGAATGATCTCTCCATAGATGATCAAAACAACAATTAAAGGGGGTTCCGTGTATAAAGAGCAATCTTGAATCTTTGAGAACTCCCCAGAATTTATTTGTAACAGCAAAATTCAGAAACTGTTTTCTATTAAATCTATCTTTTGCATTTTTTTTAAACTGCATGCTGACTAGTCAACTGATCCCTGTTCCTGATTAAGTGTTTTTAAACTGTGTCTTAAACTGTATCTTTAATTTAAACTGTATCTTCCCTTTACTCTAAGAGTGTTTTTTAAAAAAATATGATTTTGAAATGCTGCCAAAGCGTTATGTACTTTCTGTACCTAGCCACATTATATTTTAACCTGCACTGCAGCAAAGAAAAGCCATCTACAGCCTGCAGGAAAAGGGAGGGGGGGATGATGCTTTGAGTTCATGCTGCACTATCAGCTCCTACAAAGGAAACCAACCCTTTGCTCGGTTGAGGAACTGGACAGATGAATTCCAGCACTGCACAGACCCCCATGATCTTCAGGAAAACACAAAGCAGGTCACCCTATAACAAAACCCTTTGCTAGAGCGGGTGCAAGATCTCCAGCTGCTGGAGACTGGAACTAGGGCATAGTCTCTCTTCTGTAACACTACCCATTCCCTCTTGTTCTTCTCTGAATCTATGCGACAACTCAGCGGTAGAGCACAAACTCTACATCAGTCCCTACCACTGATCATGAGTAGCAGGATATGAGCCCAAAATTTTGGAGAGCTGAAAAAGACCAGGTAGACGCAATTAACTTAGATCTCTTATTTTAAGATTTGGGAATATATCGATGTTTCTCTTTGCTTCTTTTATTGCAACGTGACTGTCTTTCGAATGATATAAAGCTCACAGCATATAAATAACTGAAACAATAAAGCCATACAACACAACTTCCTCTGGTTGTTGTAGGTTTTTTGGGCTGTTTGGCCGTGTTCTTAAGAACACAACCAAAAGCCCGAAAAACCTACAACCACCATCGGACCAAAAGCATGAAAAACCTACAACCACCATCGGATCCTGGCTGTGAAAGCTTTCGAGGATACAACTGCCTCTGTTGTATAACTCAGTGGATGTGCAGCTGAAGACTTTCTGCCCCGATTCTGGAGACTGCCTACACAGTCCTCCTTTGATTTTTTTAAAAATCTTTTTTTGGGACCACCACTGGCATCGCCAGTAGCTGTGCTGGCTGAAAGATTCTAGAAGCTATATTGCAACAAAACTAATTTTATTCCCAATCTCTGATCCTTCCAAAACATTTGTTATTGGTGTTGTTTCACCTAATATACTGCCTCTGAGTGATCTAAGGGGGTTGCCACATAATTATGCACACAATTTTCTGCCACTTCCCGCAAGCTGAGTACTCATTCTACCAACTTCAGAAGGATGGAAGGTTGAGCCAGCTACCTGAATCTGTTGGGATTAAACTCAGGTTGTGAGCAGATGCTTGATTGCAGTACTGTAGTTTAATCACTGCACCGTGGGGCTCATTTCCTAATTCACTGAAAAATTAATTCCCAGGTTCCTTAAACAATACTGTAAAATAAACTCTGATTGTAAGAATAAATGCTGCCAAGCCAAACTACGTATTAAGTATAATACAGTGGTGCCTCGCATAGCGACGATAATTGGTGCAGCAAAAATCGCTGCAAAGCAATTTCATCACTATGCGATATTAAAAAGCCCATAGGAATGCATTGAAACCCCTTCAATGCGTTCCTATTGGCTTCAGACTCAACTTAAAGCGAAAATCCTCCATATGCCTGGTAAGTGAGGAATCTGTCCCAGAAAACAGCGGGCAGACATTTTTTTTACCCGCCGGCCATTTTGGAACCACCAATCAGCTGTTAAAAAATAATCGCTTTGCGATGATCGGTAAGCGAAACAGGCTACCGATCATCGCAAAGCAATTTTTCCCCATTTAAAACATCGCAATGCGATCGCTTTTGCGATCACAGAAGCTTCAGCGCTATGCGATTTCGTCATTAAACAGGGCACCCGTTAAGCAAGGCACCACTGTATATTTGGGATTAATGTATAATATATTAACATTTCACAACACCTAAGCATATTGATAATGAAACTGCACAGCTTGGAAACTTTTAACATCTGCCAGTGTATATACCACCTTCAATATACCTGCTACTACATGGATTGGCCCAACCACATGTAGCACTTCTGCCATACCACAGCCACATAACCCCAGCTGCTCTCTCCTTACTGCAAATTGCTACCACTGCACATTTTCTACCTTTTAAATGTTCCCCACAATTGGAAATCCTAGTATTTTTGAATTGTGGTGCTGGAGGAGGCTCTTGAGAGTCCCCTGCATTGCAAGGAGAAGAAACCTATCAATTCTAAAGGAAATCTAAAGGAAATCAACCCCGAGTGCTCACTGGAAGGACAGATCCTGCTGAGGCTCCAATACTTTGGCCATCTCATGAGAAGAGAAGACTCCTTGGAAAAGACCTTGACGTTAGGAAAGTGTGAAGGCAAGAGGAGAAGAGGACGACAGAGAACGAGATGGTTGGAGAGTGTCATCGAAGCCACCAGAATGAATTTGACACAACTCCGGGAGGCAGTGAAAGAGAGGAGGGCCTGGCGTGCTCTGGTCCATGGGGTCACGAAGAGTTGGAAACGACTAAACGACGACGAGTATTTTACAATACAGGAAAGCTTGAAGCACCAAAGCATTTGAGCCACATTATGACAAGAAACATCTACCTTGACCCAGCCTAAATTATATGAACTTTCACCATTTTGTTACTATCCTTGTATCTTTCCTAAGGCAACAGCCATCAGATCTCTAGGCAGAGGATAGTGGCACTGCCTTTTTTTCTGTTTCTCTCTCTTATTCAGACTTTACGCTCCCAAGATCAGAAGCTCCATCCCCTCTTTCGGCTGCTTACTCTGTAAACTGCAATGTACACCTCTAGCACTATATAAATGAGTAATAAACGCATGTTACATAATGCAATGTATCTCCAGTTCTATAAACCTCAGTCCATAATCAAGAAGTTTATGCAGCACAGGCTAGCAATATAATTTGGTTGCTATGGCAACATGTAGCGTAGCCAGACTCTGTGGAAGAGGCTGATAGATTCTTATAGATTTTAATGCTAAGCAAAGGCTCATAAATTCTTGACCTACAAGAGATTCTCATTTCTCACATGCAGAAAGTCCAGTGTTCCAAATATTGATTCAAATAGGCTAACAAAGCCAGACACACCATGTTTTCTGAGGCATCATTAAAACTATTGATTTTGTTGTTATTTTTTCTAAAAACAGCAGAGTTTAAGAGCCTCGTAGTACTTTGGTGAAACTGCAGCACTGCAGTCAAGACTCTCCTCACAATCTAAGTTCGATCCCTATGGGTTCAGGTAGATGGCTCAGGATCAACTCCACCTTCCATCTTTTATCAAATTACAGCTCAATTCAGTCAGCTTCGCAAACTTATACTCCACCCCAAATAAACACAGGCAAGCTAGGCACTTTTCCACAGCAGGCACAATCCCTACTCAAAAGGAGCCCACCCACCCTAGTCCAGCACTTGTTTCTCCTTTACACTTCATTCTGCATTTCGTACATCCATGGGCCTGTATTATCTAGCTTAATCCATAATTATCAATGTTGTTGCTTCAGAGAGGGAGGTTTCAGACTGATATAGGCCTATGAGGCAAACAGAAATCACAACTTGGCATTCCAATGTAATACTGGACCCTGCGTGTTCGTGGCAGAAATGCCTCTGAGGACATGTATGTTTTCACCAAAATAGTGTAAACATCTAGACCTGTTCAATATCTGTGTGTACACGAGAGCTACAAATGCAGAAGCTGCCATGGTGATCTGACAAGGTGCCAGTCATGCAAAACCAGGCACACAACCAACAGTTTCCACAGATGGAGTGTCCCACATATGGATATTGAATGGGATATGGCCCTCTAGATTTGCAGTGTATACTAATGGCACAGTGTTATAATATATATTATTTGACAGACCCAACTCAAGAGAATTCTGCTTTCACAAATTACCGTATCTATTTGAGTATCTGACAGACCCAACACAGAGAATTCTGCTTTCACAAATTACCGTATTCATGTCCAAAGTTTCATCAATCATCTTTTGGAAGTTGGAGAAATCTGAACATAGCTCGCCAAGAGGTCCTGTGAACACGGTTTTCAAAAGCACTTCATGGTTTCCTACCAAAACAGAAAACATAGATCTCCAATAAGTCAGTGACAGATTTACTCCCCATCCATTTTATCAGGCACTTTCCTGAAGCCTTTAATGAGGAAACAAAGATCACCACTTCCCAAACGATTAACATAACAAGGGGTATGTATGTCGTTAGTTGGTAAAACCATCAGCTACATCTGTCAGAAACAGTTCAAGGAGAAATGAGTACACTGGGTAGCCACTGGGGATTGAACAGAACATTTGGAAAGTAGGCGTGGCTGGTTAATATCCTGAACCAGAGCATCTTGGCACTACTGAATACCACGTGCAGAGACGTAATATAGTTCCAATCTTCTAACAGTTGGATTTCAGTGCTTCCTGACAGTGGGGTGCTAAGTTCACCATTAAAAGATATTGTGCAGCTTTTAGATTAGGTATCCTTCAGTCTCGAGAGACTATGCTAACGTGCTCTGAATAGAGGTCTTGGAACAGCGTCTAGTGTGCCCAATTCGAGAGTGACAATCCTTTCCACACTGAAGACAAATACAATCTGTCCCCTGTCCAGCTCCCTGATTTGGCTGCTTTCGTGACTGCCTCTTTGCCTCGGCCTGCTGGACAAGGGTCTCTTCAAATTGGGAGAGGCCATGATGCAACGCCTGCCTCCAGGCTGAACACTCAGATATCAAGAAAACATAGAATCATAGAATAACAAAGTTAGAAGGGCCCTATAAAAATAATAAGGGAGAAAGCTTAATAGTACACTTAAGAAATTAGTACTACAGAAGCAACATATTGTTTTGAAACAGGGAAAATATAAAGCATCAGAAAACAGCCACAGCACTGGGTGGAGACAAAGCAGCCCTGCCCAACCTGACACCCTACAGATACATTGTTGTTTAGTCGTTAAGCCGTGTCCGACACTTTGTGACCTCATGGACCAGAGCACGCCAGGCCCTCCTGTCTTCCACTGCTTCCCGGAGTTGGGTCAAATTCATGTTGGTCGCTTCGATGACACTGTCCAATCATCTCGTCCTCTGTCGTCCCCTTCTCCTCTTGCCTTCACACTTTCCCAACATCAGGGTCTTTTCCAGGGAGTCTTCTTTTCTCATGAGATACTTCGCACTGGTTTTTCTAATGCTTAGTCAGGTAGCTTTAAAGCTAATTTACTCAAGTAGCCATAAACCTCCCTGAGGTTGCAATTCAACTCTCTGGAGTCCGGTTATTGATCCTTTTACTCTATGCCATCTTAAGTTCAGAACAAAGCCATTGATCCTTTGCTGTTGTGGTTTTTTGAAGTCCAGTACTGCCCTCGAGTCCTGGCACTCCATGTTCCCTTTGACTGTAGGGTTTGTCAAGGACAGACCAGCCGTCACATCTTTTCCAAAAATCTAGCTCAGGGGTTGCTTAAACGCACTAGCTTGGCTTGTGATCCTCTGTAGCTGTTGCGTTCTCTTGTGTGCATGTGCCTAGGCCAAGGTCCCAGGCTCAGAGAGTCGCAGCATCATATCTACGTAGCCATTCTGAACAAAGCAAGCCAACCAACCAAAGTATGCTGCTTACATACTGCCCAAAAGTGCTGCAAGCACTCTCTGAGCGGTTTACAATTTAATTATGCAAGCTACACAGAAAGATCTGCTGCACTGCATATCCAAATAGAACTTCTCTCCAGCCATCCTCTATGTGGGGCACTGCATCACCACTGTAAAGCTCAATATGTGCCTCTCTTCACAAAAGCGCATAGCTTGTCTTAAGGAATGCTATCTGTACACATATAAATTTACTCACTCATCCGGTGCACGAGCCATTCTGAGGTTTTTCAGAGTCTCAAGCCAACTGCAACCATGGATGCTGATTCATGCCCTTCAGCTAGCTTCTCTCTCTTTTCCTCTACTCTCTCTTCCCGTTACCCTCTTTGACTCCAGAGAGATGGGATCCACAGATAAGACTATTAATTCCAAATTCTGGTTTTGCCACCACCTTGCTGGGGAAAATGGGAACAGAGAAACATCTGTTCTCTCCTTCACTGACTGTGACTGTGTGACAAGGACTGGATCATCTCAACTCAACTCTGGGTCTCTTCAGAACCCTTTCTGGATATCAGCCTCCCTTGGGTTGTTTCCAGGCAATTCAATACTCAAGATTATCTAGACCAGTGGTTCTTAACCTTGGGCCACCACCTTGCTGGGGAAAATGGGAACAGAGAAACATCTGTTCTCTCCTTCACTGACTGTGACTGTGTGACAAGGACTGGATCATCTCAACTCAACTCTGGGTCTCTTCAGAACCCTTTCTGGATATCAGCCTCCCTTGGGTTGTTTCCAGGCAATTCAATACTCAAGATTATCTAGACCAGTGGTTCTTAACCTTGGGTTACTCAGGTATTTTTGAACTGCAGCTCCCAGAAACCCCAGCCAGCACAGCTGGTGGTGAAGGCTTCTGGGAGTTGCAGTCCAAAAACACCTGAGTAGCCCAAGGTTAAGAACCACTGGTCTAGACAGCCAAGGCTACCCCACTCTAAACTTACAGTTAAATGTCTAAAATAGTCAGTAGCTGGCAAGGTATTTTGGATTGCTCCTGCTCTGAAATAAAGTACAAAACACACCTACTTCCCTTTACTTCACCCATTTGTAGGAGGATGGTGTGACACTTGCTATGTAATCAACTCTACTCCTAAGAAAGATCCCTAATTCACAGATTTAGCAGATAAATGTGCACATATATTTCACATGTGTGAGTAGACGTGGCCATTCATGTGAATGTTTTGGCACATGTCCCAGAAGAAAAAAGATGGTATTATCAGGGGTTGCTACGTTCAAGCCTTCAGAAGTAAGATAGGTAAAGTAGAGGCTGGATGTTCCCAACTGTGTTGCCCCATAAATACTTCTCCTATAGAGGCTTGCCTGCTGCCACATCGTCTGTGTGTGAGCCAGGTTTATTTGACCAGGTCTTTCATCACATCAATTTGTTGTTGTTTAGTCGTGTCCGACTCTTCATGACCCCATGGACCAGAGCACGCCAGGCAATCCTGTCTTCCACTGGCTCCCAGACTTTGGTCAAAGTCATGTTGGTCGCGTTGATGACACTGTCCAGCCATCTCGTCCTCTGTCGTCCCCTTCTCTTGCCTTCACATTTTCCCAGCATAAGGGTATTTTCCAGGGAATCTTCTCTTCTCATAAGATAGCCAAAGTATTGGAGCCTCAGCTTCAGGATCTGTCCTTCCCGTGAGCACTCAGGGTTGATTTCCTTTAGAATTGATAGGTTTGCTCTCCTTGCAGTCCAGGGGATTCTCAAGAGCCTCCTCCAGCACCACAATTCAAAGGCATCAATTCTTCGGCGGTCTGCCTTCTTTATGGTCCAGCTCTCACTTCCATACATAGCTACTGGAAAAACCATAGCTTTAACTATGCGGACTGCTGGTTTTAATTGCCTGTTTTGTTTTGCTCTTTCAGCTTAGTTTTATCAGTTTACTGAGTTTTTATTGCCTTGAATGTTTTGACTGTTAGTTGCTTGATGGTTTTATGCCTCCTGTTTTATGAGCAATCCAGCCCGTAGCTCTGGGCAGCACTATATTGTTCTCCAGTTGACTCACCTATCAGAATCCTTCGCTCTCACTTCCCACACTGTCTGTGCTCCTGTAGCTCATTTCTTAGAAGAGCAAACAAGAGGAAAAAGCTCCATTTACAGGAGGATAATTACTTCCTCCTGTCCCACTCCAAGTCTAGCCTCCCTGCACACATACACACACACACCACACCACCCAGGCTCTGAAAGAGGACAGAAAACATGCGAAGCCGGCACATACTGGAGAAGTACTTGATATAACTAAGAATGGAACTGTCGTATTTTAAGGACGCCCATTACCGCAAATCAGAGTGAATCCCCAGGCTGGAATACGGAGTGAAAGCCTGGCAGGAGATAAAGGACCCTCCTTACTTCTCTGCCATTCCTGGAAGAAAAGCGCCCCACTGCGAGTGTGGGAGTTGCAAGGATTCCCTGTTGACTTGCAAAGGTTCGTGGGAGGAGGTGTTCTGAGCAGCTTCCATCAGATCTCAGCTGTCCATGAACCTTGACGAATTGCAGGCAGTCCTTGCAACTCACAGGCTGCCGTGGGGTGCTTTGCTTTCTGTTCAAGAGGGAAGCAGCCCCTAAATGGCAGGAAGGTAAGAGGACCGCTTTCTCTCCTGCCAGTTTGAAGGTGTGACATGGGAGGATATTGAGACCATGTTTTAACATAACTATTACCACCATATGTATCAACAAGACTTGGGTATCCTATGTACCAATACTCTGTACCAACACTATGTAAACACTACACTGTACTTGTAGCACAAATGTACTTCACTCAAATGTACTTTATACTTGTACTCTATATTTCTCTAATGTTCTACCCTATTAATGCATGCCTTTCCAAGATGGTCATGTAGCCCACATTAATTAGATGTTTTACAAACTTGATTCTGTTTTAACTCTGCCTCAACCCAGACCCGGGAACAACAAAGAACATTCACACCTAGCTGATAGCACCACTTGATAGCATTTATGGCCCACCTAGAATAACAAAAGAGCCCTCTATCCTACCCCAAATGGCATTGGAATGTCAGGGGACGAAGGCAGCGATAATGGATACTCTATTCCCAGACTTTGAGGCACATCTTGGGCACAGGTCAAGGAAACATCATGCATTATTTTCTAGTTACCAATAGATTAGCTTAGTTAGCACCTTTTGTCCAATCAGGGTTTGGATCCAAACTTGAGGTACAGATGACCAATAGAAATGTATTACTTTATGGCTCTTTGTTTGTATCATTATAAAATGTACGTATGTACATGCATCTCCTCATGGTCTTCTCTCCTCTTAAGAGAAGTCCCAGCTAACCATTTCTTTGCTGCTATTCAAATAAAATTGGGTCTTTGGTTCAGCTGCCTTGCGTCTTAGCCTGTTGTCCTCGCCGGAAATCTCGAACCCAGAACTGGCCTATAACAGGTTCTCACTCCCATCATATGGCCTGGGAGGGGGACTTGCCAACCTCTGGGAATGGAAGTCCTTAAAATACAAACATTGCATCTCTTGACTTGACATAACTGGCCATTCCTGACATAGATAACAAAGAAAAGCATATTACCTCCACTTTTCTCCAGGGCCTGTATTACATTGGGTATCTGATTAACGGACTGATATATTTTGTAACAGTCCTGCAGAGTAGCCTTCTTCTGAAACTTTTTCACGATCCGACTGAAGTCTGGGAAGCGACGGAGGTGGTCTTCTTGAAGAGATTGTCGGAGCTCTGCATCTTCAATAAAGGCCTCTACCAAGTTCAGCCTAGGGGTGAAGCAGGCAGAAAAAACAGAAAGACAAAGTCCAGTCAAACACGCAAGGTCTTCATACTCTCAGGAGCAGATCAATCGTGACATTTCCAACCTTTTATTTTTTTAGTGGCAGAACAGAATGGTTTATTTTGTACCAACAGCCAACTCTCTGATGATAGCTGGGGGAAGAAACACAGTGAAAAGAGCCAATATTACAAATGTAATATTACAATATTACAGCTTATAGTTGGTTTACTGTGTTAATATCTAGAATATTAATGACTGTGACTACTTAATACGTAGAAACAATGAGATTCCAAAGAAAATCAAAGAGGAAAGTGAATCATTCATTTTACCTGAAAACAGAAAATTAAACTCAATTTGCCCACCTGCTATTGGTATTATATAGTATTAGAATTCATGCATATCTACTCATATTATCTCAGGAAAGATAACCACTGCATTCTGCTAAACCAACCAATATATCCCACGGTTATTTCTGCAACAAGTGTTTAAGTACGCAGAGCCATATCTGAGCATCAGATGAGTGGGGAATATCTGTCTTTTCTCAATTGTTATTTCCACTATTAAAAAGAAAAACTTGGAAACATGTATTTTTTGGAATACAGTGGGGTCTCTACATAAGAACTTAATCTGTATTGGAAGGTGGTTCTCAAGTTGAAAAGTTCTTCTGCTGAATCTGCATTTCCCATAGGAATGCACTGAAAACCATTTAATCCGTATCTGCTCTTTTCCGTCCATAGAAACTACAGTGGAACCTCTACTTAAGAACTTAATCTTATCTCAGGAAAGATAACCACTGCATTCTGCTAAACCAACCAACCAATATATCCCACGGTTATGCATGCAACAAGTGTTTAAGTACGCAGAGCCATATCTGAGCATCAGATGAGTGGGGAATATCTGTCTTTTCTCAATTGTTATTTCCACTATTAAAAAGAAAAACTTGGAAACATGTATTTTTTGGAATACAGTGAGCAGATACGGATCAAATGGTTTTCAATGCATTCCTATGGGAAATGCAGATTTGACCTGAGAACTTTTTGACTTGAGAACCGCCTTCCAATACGGATTAAGTTCTCAAGTCAAGACCCCACTGTATTAGAATTCATGCATATCTACTCATATTATCTCAGGAAAGATAACCACTGCATTCTGCTAAACCAACCAACCAATATATCCCACGGTTATTTCTGCAACAAGTGTTTAAGTACGCAGAGCCATATCTGAACATCAGCACAATTAATGGGGATGAGTGGGGAATATCTGTCTTTTCTCAATTGTTATTTCCACTATTAAAAAGAAAAACTTGGAAACATGTATTTTTTGGAATACAGCTCCCAGGACCCCACAGCTAGCAAAAAGTAACATTTCCAAGTCCTGCCTAATTCTATGATCTTCTGTGGTTTTAATTTTACGAGCAGCTCTTGAAAGGAGAGCAGGAAGTTATGCTGAGTTGGAGTGTGTGAACGAGTGAATGCGTACGCATAGACATGCATGTACATGCGGACAGGGGTTGAAAAATGTTTTTGTCTTTCAGATCATGTGCCAAAAAGGCAGAATCAGACATACTGTAGAAGAGAAAACACAGACACTATCTTTCTCCGTTAGCTCAAATGCCGGTCTCCATGAAGACGAATTCTGGAAAATACTATTGTTTTTAATTCTTTTTGTTCCCATTTTTGTCATCAGTTAAAAACAGATCAAAATAACTCTCTTTAAAAGGGACCATAAAGCAAGGAGTCTTTCTATCTACATGATAAATGAACCTTAAAAGCAGTGGATTAAATTTGCTCCAACCCATAATGCAGTCTTTGCAACTTCCTCTAGAGAACCATTTTTCTTCTGTGGTTGGAATAATTCCTTAACATTAAAATTCCACCTTTTCCTGCTTCTGCAGTAAAGAGCAGAGCACATTTGGCTTTTATGGCTTCTTCCCTAATAAAAGGGACTATGGCTGCTCCATACCTTCTTACACACCAGCATCTATTGGACTAAGGAAAAACAAATTAAGAGAATAATTTGATGGCAACAGACGCACAGAGGGATGAGATCTGCCATCAGTTCAGCACACAGCTGTCTTGTTAAATCATGCTCTCTCGTAAACAGACGGTGTCTTAAGGCTGGCACTCAGATAAATGCTTCAGAAGTAAGGACATATATATCTAGTATTATCTTGCTAAAAGCTCTACTGGCACAGCCAGCCTAAGCTCTTTCATTCTCCTTAGACATAGCTGTGGGTTTGGGGACAGCTAGGTTTAAGATCAGTGAGAAACATCTGGTTTTAAAGAACAGTTAGTTTGTTCACCAGCATTCCTTCTTTCTGCTATCTGAAATCTCAGAGGCTAAAGAGGAAAAAAAGACCCATGCCAGCTAAGGATGGTGAATAGTCTTCTGGATATTTGGGACCAAATCCATTTGTAAGTCTTAGCTAGAATGAAGCCACTGAATGAAAACTACAGAAAGGGCTGGTTTGACAAGTGGAGTCAATGAATCTCCGCTATCTATGGCTCACAATGGGTTGGATGTGACCCTTATTTTCAAAGCCTGACTTACTGAAAGAATCACACACATGGAATGCAAAGGCTAGGAATAAACTGTACACTTAGAAACAAGGTTCACTAGGCTAGACAGCAGACACAGCTGAGATTTGCAGTGAAGGTCAGAGCACTATTCATGAATCACAACTAGCTAAAGCACCAACATCATGAGGAGGAGGAGGATGCATGATCAGAAGGAATTTGATGTCAAGACATATCTAGCAGTCGCTGAACTCCAGTCAGGACTTGGCTGGGGCAATTTTACATTTCATGTTCTTAGGGAGAATTCCAACTCCTGCAGAAGTTACACTTGAACTCCACTCAGGACTTGGCTAGGGCAATTTTACATTTCATGGGAGAATTCCAACTCCTGCAGAAGTTACAAAAGGAAACAAGAAACAAATGGAGGAAGTCACATTTGAAAAGAATGAATGGAGGGCTTTTGATCTGTTGAATAATGAACTAACTGTTCAGACCTAGGCTGAGCTCACATGCTGCTATCCGCTATACCAGAGGTCCCCAACCCCCGGTCCGTGACCCGATGCCAGTCCGTGACCTGAACTGGACTGGGGAGACAGACCTCCTGCCCCCCCTCGCACGCACTCACCCCTGCACAGCTGATTTGAGCATGCGCACCTGCTCCAGCGTGCCCACATGCGCGCTGCGCCACCGTTTGTGCATGCGCATGAGCGAGCGCCACCGTTCACATATGCACACAAGCGCAGGGTGTGTCCCGCCTTCCCCAGCTGGTCTGTGGGGTAAAAAAGGTTGGGGACCCCTGCACTATACCACACATGGAAAAAATTCCCAGCTTATTTTCAACAATCCTATGCCAGACCAAACAAATGAGGAAAAAAGGATAATAACATTTAAAAGCCCATCAGTGTCAGGAGTCAGTACATACTTATATATGGAAAAGCAATGACTTTGTATTTTTATATATAGTGATATTGGGTATTCAAAGGATTTCACATACATTATTTCAATATTCCACACAAGAACTCTATAAAGCGAGCCCTGGGTTTGCATCTGTGTTGCAGAGTTAATAGAGTTTCATGAAAAAGATAGTATTTGAACTTGAAAACTTTCCAATTCACAGCTCAGTTCCTTAGCTTAAAAAATATCATGTGCCACAATGGCTTCTGGTAAGCTAAAGCAACTTACAATTGAACTCATCAGCAAAACCTCTCTCTTCCATCTGTTTATTCTTCTGGCTGCAACTTGACTCCTGAACGAGATTCTCTAATTCTGTATTATAGTTCTCCTGGATCCTCTTTCTCAAGGACCCAGCGTATCACTTTTAATACCCACTCACTGATTCCTGAAATTAGCTTCCCTTTGGTTCCCAAGCCCTCTGCCTTTTGCTAGTTCTCTGTATCTCTCCTTCTGCTCCCTTATAGATTGCAAAGAGAGCAGACCTGGAACACTGGAAAACATCTATCACTGGGCAAAAAACAAATGGCCATCTCAAAAAAAATCACAGGTTAATAGACCAAAATTACTCTAGTGATTTGGGTCACACACCCAGAATTCTGAGAAACGGATGTATAGTTCAAGTTACACATCAGTGCACCTTTAAATGTCCTTTTAACACTGTGAGCAGCAGTGACAGATGGCACCTCTCCTGAGGTGGACTCTAAGGGTTGCTAAGTGCTCATCAGAATACCATAAGATAAGCCTAAAGTCCAGGAGACAACCACAGTCAATGGGATCAAAATCCACATTTTTTGTCCCTCCCCTGAAAATTATATCCATCAGAAAACCAAGGGCATTTCCATCCCTTAACCAGATAGCACTTGGACTGAAATGGAACTAGACAATCACATTCCTACAAGAATACCTGGAGCTGAGTTGCTATCATCTTTTCTAACACATGGCCCCAAAAGATGATATTCTCCACCTTGCAGTAGTTATTATCAACCTATAGGTCCAGAGAGGCCTCCTGTTTCTTGATGGGCAGCAAGGATCAGCCCTTCTACCAGATGTACTTACCTGGACCCATAGTTCCCTCCACCAATCTTATATAATCCAGGATAATAAAGTTGGAGAAGACATTTATCTTTAAGCACGTCACAACATTCAATTCAGAAATACTCTTATCTTACACATATGGATCTGTTAGAAGCTCACTACAGTTCATTGGTGATTAAGTAACAGCTGTATGGAGAGCATTTCAGAAGTTACACGTCGGGGTGTCAAGGTAAAGCACAGCCTATATACCTTTTATGACTTCTCAGAAGAATACACTGAGGCAGTTTATAGACTTGGCAACAGAGTTCGAAGTGTTGATCTTTTGCAACAACAAAAAAAAAGCAGTCTTGACAGTATTTTAAAAATAGATTTGTTGTGCCATAACCATCAAGTAATAGAGCTCACTTCATTAATCTGAAGCACTCTTTCCAGCTGGCAGATTCAAGTTATCTACATAGGCACACAAGAAACAGAAGGGCCC